CCCGTATGTAATAGTATATGGTTCCATATGTAAGAGATGGATAATAATAACAGTAAAAATAATAAATAAGTATCCACACATAATATATGGATTTTTTTTGTCATACATGGATGATAATGATAAATGACTATCCATCTCTAATACATGGATCCATGAATAATACTATATGGATAATAATAGTCATAATAATAAATAATTATGTAATAAGATATGGATAATAATACTGTAATAATAATAATAATAATAATAATAATCTATCCCTATATAATAATACATAGATGATAATAATAAATAACTATCTATATATAATATATAGGTATATATAATAAACTATACATATATAATGATTTATGGATCCATATATATATATATATATATACATACAGAGAATATTAGTAATAATATTTATTTATTTACAGTATTTATATTCCACCCTTCTCACCCCGCAGAGGTTATTTATAATAATAATAATAATAATAATAATAATAATAATAATAATAATAATAATAAATAACGACTTCTTATTACTATTATTATCTGTATATTATATATATGTATCAATATGTTATTACCTGTGGGTGTGTGTGTGTTATTTATTATCATCCATATATTATTATATAGGAATACTTTATTATTATTATTATTCATATATTATTATATGTGGGTAGTTATTTATTATTATAATTATTATTATAAATAACTACCCACATTTAATAATATATGGATAATAATAATAAAGTATTCCTATATAATAATATATGGATGATAATACATAACACACACACACATACATATATATATATTTACACAGGTAATAATGTATTGATACATATATATAATATACAGATAATAATAGTAATAATAATATATGGATAATAATAGTAATAATAATAAACTATCCTTATAGACTAATATATGGATGTTGACAATTAACTTTCTATATATAATATATAACTATACGTATGTAATAATATATGGATCCATATATATAATATACAGATAATAATAGTAATAGTAATAAGCTATCCCTATACAGTAATGTAGGGATGATAATAAATATCTATACATAATATATAGGGATGTGTGTGTGTGTGTGTATATATATATATATATGGAATAATGTATGGATCCATATACATAATATACAGATAACAGTAGTAATAATAACAATAAACTATCCACCTATAATAATATATGGATAATCACAATAATAAACTATCCCTACCCAGTAATATATGGATGATGATAGTAAATGACTACCTATGTATTATATATTTGTTGTTGTTCATTCATTCAGTCGTTTCCGACTCTTCCTGACTTCATGGACCATTCCCCGCCAGAGCTCCCTGTCGGTCGTCACCACCCCCAGCTCCTTCAAGGTCAATCCAGTCACTTCAAGGATATTATATATTATATATGTATTATATATAGGTCCTTCTTATAATATGATGGTTTGAAAGGACTTTCCCGAGACCTTGAAGCCAATCCTGAAATGCAGAGAGAGAGAGAGAGAGAGAGCCAACCCAACTTGAACCCACTCCCCTGTTGATTCTTTGCCTTTCCTTAAAGGATCCATTGATCCCAGGGGTTTGGAAGAGCTAGCTCACCTGCCTGGATACAAAATCCAAACCCAGGCGTTTCTGGGCTCCGAGAACTAAGGCTTCGGGAAAGGGAACCCAAGGGATGGATGGAGCCCGCATGCGACCCAACGCGGGTCGGGGAAATCGCCCCAAAAATTGCCATTGCATCCAATCCGTGTTTCAGCAAGGGCTGAGCGAGGAAACCCCTTGGATTGTAGGGATTTTCAAAGGGATCGGTTTTGAAATATTACAGAGGAATCCACATTTGAGGCCTCAAGTCCATTTTCCTAAAGCGGATTCTAGAGGGTGGGTCAGAAAGTAATGCCTCCAAAAGGAAGAAGGCGGCATTGAGGAGGGTGGGGATTTTTGACCAAGAGCAGCATCTTGATTTCCTTGCAAAGATCCATGTCGCTGCTATTATTATTGTTATTAGTAGTAGTAGTAGTAGTAGTATTAGCCCAACTTCCACACCAGGCTGGCCTCCAACGCGTCTCTAGATCTCTGAACATCTAGCAGTAACTCCAATTAGTGGAAGTTTAGGTCATAGGAGAAAAAGAAGGAGGAGGAGAAGAAAAGAAGAGGAAGAAGGAAAAGGAGGAGGAGGAGGAGGAGAGGAGAAGGAGAAAGAGAAGAAGGAGAAGTAGAAGGAAAAAGGAGGAGGAGAAAAAAGGAGAAGTAGAAGGAAAAAGGGGAAGGAGGAGAAGGAGAAAGAAGRAGAAGGAGAAGGAAAAAGRAGGAGAAGGAGAAAAAAGAAGAAGTAGAAGGAAAAAGGAGAAGGAGAGGAGGAAAAGGAGAAAGAGGAGGAGAAAATGAAGGAGAAGGAAAAGGAGGAGAGGAGGAGAAAAGGAGAAGAGGAGGAGAAGGGAAAAAGGAGAAGGAAGAAGAGGAGAAGGAGAAAAAAGGAGAGTAGGAAAAGGAGAAAGAAAGKGAGGAGGAGAAGGAAAAAAAGAAGGAAAATGGAGGAGAAAAAAAGGAGAGGAGGAAAAAATGAGAAGAAGGAGAAAGAGGAGAAGGAAAAGGAGGAGAGGAGGAGAAGGAAAAAGAAAGGGAGGAGGAGGAGGAAAAGCAAGAGAGGAGGAGGAGAAAAAGGAGAAAGAGGAGGAGAGGAGGAGGAGAGGAGAAGGAGAGGAGAAGGAGAAGAAGAGGAGAAGGGAAAAAGGAGAAGGAGAAAGAGGAGAAGGAGAAAAAAAGAAGGAGAGGAGGAAAAGGAGAAAGAGGAGGAAAAAAGAAGGAAAATGGAGGAGAAAAAAAGAAGGAGGAGAGGAAGGAAAAAAGAGAAGAAGGAGAAAGAGGAGAAGGAGAAAATTGAGAAGGAAAAGGAGGAGAGGAGAAGGAGAAAGAAAGGGAGGAGGAGGGGGRAAAAGCAAGAGAGGAGAAGGAGAAAAAAAGGAGAAAGAAGAGGAGGAGGGGAGGAGAAGCAGAAGGAGAAAAAAGAAGGAGAAAGAGAAGGAAARGGTGAAGAAGAGTGGTGAGAATGAAGGGAGCGTTCAGATGAGGCCAAGCGGTGCAAAAGCGGGTGTCCTTATTGCCAGTCCCTCCGAATCGCTCCATCTCCCCCGAGAATAACGCTTCTCTTTTCCATCCAAGGTTGTTTCCAAAATCTTTCCCTCGTCGGTTGGGTTGGGTTTGTGTTCCAACGAAGGCCAATTCTCCTCTCCGGCTCTTGGGAAAACCCGCTTCCAATGTCGGAGGCCGCCTTGGAGATCCATCCAAACATGGCAGAAGGACCCAGGCCTGTCTATTTCTCTCTCCATTGGTCCTCCTTGTGTTCCTATGGACTGGGAGGAACTGGGAGGACTGGGGCGGGTAAACAACACTCCTGTTGCCTCTCTCCTTGCTCCCTTTCCAAGGGAGCCCCTTCTTCTCGGGATCTGCCCAAAGGAGGACTCACCTTTTGCTCCAAACAGGACGCAGGAGGCAAAACTTTTTGACCCACTCTGGAATTACAAACTGGAAAGTCCAAACCTCACCAACCGGCCCTGATTTCACGCTTCCAAATAGGAGCTCCGAAAGGGAGAAAGGCGCCTTACCCAAGACAGGTTTAAGGACACTGGACTCCCCAACTCTGGCTGGGTTGCTGTGAGTTTTCCGGGCTGTTTGGCCAGGTTACAACCCGGAAAACTCACAGCAACCCCGTGATTCCAGCCAGGAAAGACTTTGACAAGACAGTGACTTTGTTCTCCCGAAATAGACCGCATTGGAAGGAGAAGGACACAATGGGAATATAATAAATAATAATAATAATAATAATAATAATAATAATAATAATAATAATTCAAAAATACATCACACAGTCCTAGACGCTTGGGAAGTATTCCGACTTGTGATTTTGTGATGCGAAACCCAGCATATAGATCTCGTTTGTTGTGACATACTGTGTTTTTGTGTCAGTAATAATAATAATATAAAATAGACTAATAATAAAAAATAAAAAAGAATATTAAAGTAGCGTAACAATACAATAGATTAATAATAAAATAGAATAATCATAATAGAATAATAATCAAATAGAATAAAAATGAAACAGAATAATAATAAAATAGAATGATAATAAAACAGTAATAAAATAGACTAATAACAAAAAATAAAATAGAATAATAATAAAACAGAATACAAAACAACAAAGTAATAAAAATAAAATAGAATAATAATAAATAGAATGATAATAATATAGACTAATAATAAAAATAAAATAGAATAATAAAAATAGAATAAAGTAGACTAATAACAAAAATAAAATAGGCTAAAATAAAATAAAACAGACTAATAATAATAAAATAGAATAATAATAATAATAAAATAGAATAATAGCAAAAATAAAAGAGAATAATAAAATAAAATAAAAATAATACAGAATAACAAAAATAGAATAAAAATAAAATAGAACAATAAAATAGAATAAAAATAACAATAAAAAAGAATAAAGGTAAAATAGAAAAATAATAAATAGAATGATAATAATATAGACTATTAATAAAAAATAAAATAGAATAATAATAAAACAGAATAACAATAATAAAATAGAATAATAAAATATAGTAATAAAATAATAATAATAATAATAATAATACTTTATTTATAGGCCGCCCTAGAAACTCTTCCATTCCCTGGCATCGCTTTTACTTTCATTCTGAAGTCTGCTCCCAAAGGCTTTCGCTTTAGGAATGTGGAACCTGAAGGGCGATGCCATAGGATTGGGGGCACAATCCTCCTCCATGGATCCCCCCATGGATACCCCAACCCAACTCTCAAAACCATGCAAGACTTTGGCAACTTTGGTTCCCTCCAAAGGGATGGCAAGTGGTTCCTTTCTCTTTTGAAGGCGGTAAACACTCCCTTCCCATCTCAACCCACCCTTTACCAAAAAAATTCCCCTTTTCAGCCCAGTTTAGAGACTAGATTTCACAAGCTTGGACTCACAGAAACCGTCCTGAAGTCTGGAGGGATGTGGCTTCCTCTGCTCCTGTCCCCTTGGCTTCATCAAAAGCATCCAAGGGGTCTTGTCAGCATCCTTGGACCCAAAATATATATAGAAAAGAGGATAATAATAATAATCAGAGTCCACTAAGAAGGAAGGAAGGCCTTCAGATGCTTGGGGTGAGGAAAGGAGACAGGGCGTCTCTTCTGGAGGGCTGTGTCTCCATCCATGCCCCTCCAAAAAAGAAAAAAAAAGAAGAAGGGAGGAAGGGAAGAGAGAGAGAGAAAGAGGGAGAGATGCCGAGGGGAGCCTTGCCTCCCTCCTGCCTTCCTTCCTTCCTCCTTTCCCTCCCTCTTTCTTCTCTGCTGACGTTGCAGGCTGTCAATCTTGGAAGAGCAAGCTTCCAAACAAGGGAGGACACCCCCTTGGCTTTCTCAAGTCCCCCCCAAAATAAAAGTGCTGGGCCTCCTCTGCTTGCCTTGCTTGCACTTCCATCCATGGGCAACAACTGAGGCTCCCATCTTTGCTGGCTTTGGGGATCCTGCCTTTCCCAAAGAGAGATGGTTTAAATTATAGTCCCATGTGGAGCGCATAAACCTCAACCAGGCCTGGATGGGATGGTAAAAGACTGGCCTTGGCAACTAGGCTTGGGCCTGCGCTTTTGGGAAATGGCATTCAGAACCTTTTGGGGAAACCAGGCCTGACCGTAACCTTTTGTAAAATGGGATCTTCCCCAGAAGAGTTCAAAACTCTGTCTACCAGTGTTTAAAAAACTCTAAAAGCAGGGTAGTAAATAAAGAACAACACTCAGAAAACAGGGGAATTCAAGACAGGAAACAACCAGGGCCAGCTAACACCTCCCAACAAACACCCCACTGCTCCTACTTTAAATCAGGCATGAGCAAACGTAAACCCTCCCTCCAGGTGTCTTGGACTTCCACAATTCCAATCAGGGCCAGCTAACACCTCCCAACAAGTACCCCAGTGATCCTACTTCTGATCAGGCATCGGCATACTTGGGCCCTGCCTTCGGGTGTTTTGGACTCCCACAATTCCAATCAGGAATTCCAATCAGTATGCTGAATTCCAATCAGCATACTTGGGCCCTCCCTTCGGGTGTTTTGGACTCCCACAATTCCAATCAGGGCCAGCTAACACCTCCCAACAAACACCTCCATGCTCCTACTTTACTTTAGATCAGGCATGGGCAAACTTGGGCCCTCCCTCCAGGTGTTTTGGACTTCAACTCCCACAATTCCAATCAGGGCCAGCTAACACCTCCCAACAAGTACCCCAGTGCTCCTACTTTAAATCAGGCATGGGCATACTTGGGCCCTCCCTCCAGGTGTTTTAGATTTCAACTCCCACAATCCAATCAGGGCCAGCTAACACCTCTCAACAAACACCTCTGTGCTCCTACTTTAAATCAGGCATGAGCAAACTTAAGCCCTCCCTCCAGGTGTCTTGGACTTCCACAATTCCAATCAGGGCCAGCTAACACCTCCCAACAAACACCTCCACGCTCCTACTTTAGTTTAGAGCAGACATGGGCAAACTTTGGCCGTCCCTCCAGGTGTTTTGGACTTCAACTCTCACAATTCCAATCAGGGCCAACCAACACCTCCCAACAAGTACCCCAGTGGTCCTACTTCTGATCAGGCATGAGCAAACTTGGACCCTCCCTCCAGGAGTTTTGGACTTTAACTCCCACAATTCCAATCAAGGCCAGCTAACACCAACCAACAAAAGATTCCCTCCCAGGCAGAAACCAGCCAGGCTTTGAAGCTGCAAGGCTATTCACTGCTAATCAAGGTTGTTAGTGGCAGTATTCACACTTGCCTCCAACTGACAAGAGTTCTTTCTCCCGCCCTGGACCTTCCACAGATATATAAACCTCTCTTACAGGACAGTAAATAAAGAGCAACACCCAGAAAACAGGGGAAATCCAGAGAGGAAACAATCAGGGCCAGCTAACACCTCTCAACAAAGGATTCCCCTCCCCAGGCTGCAACCAGCCAGGCTTTGAAGCTGCAAGGCTATTCAATACTAACCAAAGTGGCCAATGGCAACATTCACACTTTCCTCCAACAGACAAGTTCTTTCTCCCACCCTGAACCTTCCAGAGATATATAAACCCCACTTACTTAGTTTCCAATATAGCTGACAACCTCTGAGGATGCCTGCCATAGATATGGGCGAAACGTCAGGAGATAAAGCTTCTAGAACATGGCCAGACAGCCTGGAAAACTCACAGCAACCCAGTTAAAAACTTGCTTGAGTCAACCTTCATGCAACTAGTATTCATGTAAGGCAATTAGGTTTCTCAGCTGTTAGACTGATATACTTAGGAATTGCTTTGAACTGATAGGAATGAAGACATGCCAATGGACAAAAACATTTCTCTGTGCAGATAACACGGGGCATCTTTCTTAGAATCTTAACAGCTCAAAGCCTAAAGCATCTCTCTGTTCTGAGAGTCTAATGGAGTCTCTGTATTCTAAAATGGAGTCTGAGTCCTGAACAGTCCCAGATCTGATCACGTGGTTTACAGCCCCTCCAGTTGAATAACCCCAAGGGCATGTTTGGCCTCCTTAGCATGATGCCTCTGCACAGGCCACCAGCAAAGGGTCCTTTTTGTCCCCCCCCCCCAATCACTCATTATTTGGGGGCAAAAAGGAAAGATGGGTAATAAATAAATTACTATTATTATCATCATCTGTTGGAAATAGCAACCTTCCACTAGTTATTGGTTATGTATATAATTCAGATTGCGGACTGTATTGTATGCTGGTTCCTTCACTCTGTGTTGTGGGAGGAGCTGCAGACCATGTGATCAGATCTGGGACTGCTCTGAGCTCAGACTCCATTTGTAGTCATCATCATCACCATTTTAGTCCAGTCCTGATTTCTCATGGTTTCCACTGGATGAACACAATTCCGAGTATTATCACCAGAAAAAGAGAATCTTCCAGCTCTATCCCAAGGAAAGGAACACAGTAGCGCCTTTTGAAACTTTGGGAGGAAGGCGTTATTGGCACCCAGCGTTCACGGACGACAGTCCACTTCATCAGATGCATGGAGACAGCTCATCAATCTACAAGATTTCATCACAGTCTCCTTCCCTTATCTCCAAACTTAGAAGCCTTATCTCTGACTCCAGCTCTGGTCCATAATCCCAGTTGGTGTGTTGTCAAAGGCTTTCATGGCCGGAATCACTGGGTTGCTATGAGTTTTCTGGCCATGTTCCGGAAACATTCTCTCCTGACATTTCACCCACATCTAGGGCAAGCATGGTCAGAGGTTTGTTGGAAACTAGGCATGTAGGGTTGATACATCTGTGGAATAATGTCCAGGGTGGGAGAAAGAAACTCTTGTCTGTTGGAGGGAAGTGTAAATGTTGCCATTAGGGAATCCTTTGTTGGGACATGTTTGTTGGCCCTGTTGTCTAGGGTGGGAGAAAGAACTCTTGTCTGTTGGAGGGAAGTGTGAATGTTGCCATTGGCCACCTTGATTGGCATTGCATGGCCTTGCAGCTTCAAAGTTGGCTGGTTGCTGCCTGGGGAATCCTTTGTTGGGAGGTGTTAGCTGGCCCTGTTGTCCAGAGTGGGAGAAAGAACTCTTGTCTGTTGGAGGCAAGTGTGAATGTTGCCACTGGCCACCTTGATTGGCATTGAATGACCTTGCAACTTCAAAGCCTGGCTGGTTGCTGCCTGGGGGGATTCTTTGTTGGGAGGTGTTAGCTGGCCCTGATGTCCCGGGTGAGAGAAAGAACTCTTGTCTGCTTGAGGCAAGTGTGAATGTTGCCACTGGCCACCTTGATTGGCATTGAATGGCCATGCAACTTCAAAGCCTGGCCGGTTGCTGACTGGGGGGATCCTTTGTTGAGAGGTGTTAGCTGGCCCTGATGTCCAAAGTGAGAGAAAGAACTCTTGTGTGTTGGAGGGAAGTGTGAATGTTGCCACTGGCCACCTTGATTCACATTGAATGGCCTTGCAGCTTCAAAGCCTGGCTGGTTGCTGCCCGGGGATCCTTTGTTGGGAGGTGTTAGATGGCCCTGGTTGGAATTGTGTGAGTTGAAATCCAAAACACCTGGAGGGAGGACCTAAGTTTGCCCACGCCTAATCTAAACTGAAGTAGGACCACTGAGTTGTGGACTTGTGTGTCTGTTTCTTCAATGGGACAACCGTGGACTACGCCTCTGGAGGCCAGGGTTCAAGTCCTGGAAACGCATTGGGTGACTTTGGGCAGGTCACACTCTCTCAGCCTCAGAGGAAGGCAAAGGCAAACCCATTCCAAATCAGAGTGGAATTGAAGGCACACAAAGAGAACGTGTATTGACTTGCACTGAAATATCAATTTCATTGATCTACTTTGAAAAGGCTCAACCAACAGGAATCCAGCCTTGCACACTAGGCCCTTGCAACATGTTGCCTTCTGAATGGACCAAACTGCAACTCTCATCATCTCACGGCTAGTGGGGAAAGCGGAGAGAGACATAACGCAACTGGTAGGTGCACTGAAGTCCCATAAGTCTTACAGAATCCAATTCCATTGGCTAAAACAACAGGGAGAACCCCAATTGACTTCTCAGTTCTGTTTGTGAGTCTATCTGAACTGCAGAGTCTTCATCACAGTCGGGTGAGATGCTTGGGGTTCTGTGCTAGAAATCCCAAGCCTACTCCCATGAACTCCAGTAGAGAATCCTAAATATCAAACTACAGATGCCAGGGTTTTGTGGGATGTGTAGTCCCTCTTCTGCCAGGTGTCTCCTCAGAATGAAGCCTCTCTCAGGTAAGTTGGGGCAGAACTGTAGCTCAAATCCACTTTTCTTTCCTGCCAGACAATGATCCAAAGCCAAGTCTGAACTAGCCATTGGTGCCCTTGTATTGGATCAATCCTACAGTGGACAGGATTCCCTAGAAGTTGAAGAGGGATCAAACCGCATCCATTTAACAGTGCAGCAGAAGAGTGGGGGGGGGGGGCGGTGTTCCTTCATTGTATCTAGTATACAGGGTCAGAAGTGATGGGACCCAAGTCTAAACAGGAAAGGCATGCTTCATAATGCACTACATACACTTAGCTTGGAGGCCTTTTATGTACAATATTTTAAATAATTGTGTGTATGGAGGGATGTTGATGTACCTCAAGGGCTCACTTTTGACAATGTTAAGAGCATTTTGAAATGCTCGATAAGGGATTACCAACCTGTATTATTGTTGTTGTTGTTGTATTTTATCATCATTATTATAGTATTATTATTATAGTATTATAGTATTATAATACTTTATTATTATAGTATTGCATTATTATTATAGTATTATAGTATTCTTATGTAGTTATTATTATTATTATTGTATTTATCATTATTATTATAGTATTATCATTATTTTATTATTATTATAGTATTGCATTATTATTATAGTATTATAGTATTCTTATATTATTATTGTTGTTGTATTTTATCATTATTATTATAGTATTATTATTATTTTTATATTATAGTGTTATAATATTTTATTATCACAGTATTGCATTATTATTATAGTATTATAGTATTCTTATATTATTATTATTATTGTATTTTATCATTATTATTATAGTATTGCATTATTATTATTATTATTATAGTATTATAGTATTATTATTATTATTATTATTATTATAGTATTGCATTATTATAGTATTGCATTATTTGTTGTTGTTCATTCGTTCAGTTGTTTAGACACTTCATGGCCTCCCGTCACCACCCCCAGCTCCTTCAAGTCCATCACCACCCCCTGCTCCTTCAAGGTCAATCCAATCATTTCAAGGATGCCATCCATCCATCTTGCCCTTGGTCGGCCCCTTTTTCCTTCCATTTTCCCCAGCATAATTGTCTTCTCTAAGCTTTATTTTATTATAGTATTATAGTACTATTATATTATTATTATTATTGTATTATTATTATTATAGTATTATTACTACAGTATTATAGTATTTTATTTTAGTATTATAGTATTATTATTATATTATTATTATTATATTATAGTATTATTATTACATTATTATAGTATTTTATTATATTATTATTATAGTATTACACTATTTTATTATTATAGTATTATACTAATTATTTGTTTTATTATAGCATTATACTATTTTATTATTATAGTATTATACTATACTATTATATTATATGATTTTTTTTTCATGTCAAGAGAAACTGCACATGGGAACACCCGAATCTGTTACCATCCTGTGGGAGGCTTCTCTCATGTCCCTGCATGGGAAGCAGGAGCTGACAGACAGGAGCTCACCTCGCTCCCTAGATTCCAACTGCAGACCTTTTGGTCAGCAGTTCAGCCGGCACAAGGGTTTAACCCATTGCACCTATATTATATGATTAATGTTCTTGTTGTTATTGATGATGATGATTAATTTATTACTGGTCTCTCCTTGCGGCTCCAGGCAGGATACAACATTATTAAAACAAGAGACCAAAACACTATTCACAGACATACAGAAAGATATACACAGTTAAAATACAAGTTAAAATCCATCAATATGATGATGATGATGATGATGATGATGATGATGATGATGATGATGATGATATTGTTGTTATTGCAGAGCACAAAACAATCCCAATCAGCGGGTCCACTCAAAGGTGTCAGACTAGGCTCCAACAGGAAAATAAATATTACTAAATACTATGGCAAGACCTGGGAAAATCTTAGGCGAATTTGTGATGGTTGTACATATATGCATGGCAGGATGGGAGGCCCAAGAATAACACAGGGGTGGAAAAATCCCAATGGAAAAAAGGAAAGGAGGCAAAGCCGGGAATCTCTGAATTCACCTCACTTGGCAGCCTTACCTTTCTTTACTCTCTCTCTCTCTTATATATAATATTATACACACACACATATAGGAAGAGAAGGGAAACATGTCAACACATGAGTCACATGTTAGAATATTATTTGTGTTTTGTGAATGTCTTATTGGCCCTTGAGAAGAAAACAACTTGGTTGGGGAAGGCTGCTTTGCTTCAAGTGCAGGCCAAACAACAACAATAATTACTTTTAGGATATTCATATAATAATATTATAATAATAATAATATAATAATAATAATCCACAAAACTTGTCACTCTTTCCAGGAAAAGTGCCACCAAGTGAAGACCTCAAATATAATAATATAATATAATGTAATTATAATATAATAACACAATATAATAATAATAATAATAATAATAATAATAATAATAATAATAATCCACCAAAATTTGTCACTCTTTCCAGGAAAAGTGCCACCAAGTGAAGACCTCAAATATAATAATATAATATAATATAATGTAATTATAATATAATAACACAATATAATAATAATAATAATAATAATAATAATAATAATAATAATAATAATAATCCACCAAAATTTGTCACTCTTTCCAGGAAAAGTGTGACCAAATGAACACCTCAAATATAATAATATAATAATACAATAATGTGATCGTATTACAATATAATATAATCATCATCATCATCTACCAAATTTGTCACTATTTCCAGGAAATGTGCTACAAGATGAAGACTTCAAATATAATAATATAATAATACAATGATACAATAATATTACAATATAACAACAACAACAACAACAACAACAATAACAATCCACCAAACTTGTCACTCTTTTCAGGAAAGGTGCTACCAGATGAAGACCTCACATATAATAATATAATCTATATCACACTAAACACTAAAAAACACAGCAGAAGAGACTTAAAAAGCCAAAAAACAAAAATTATATTACACGGCATGCTTAAAACCACACATGTATACGCAAACAAACATATACACGAAACACAAATATATACATACGCATACACACACACACACACACAAAACACATATACACAGACTGGGCCACAGCAGATGGCTACTAATATAATAATACAATCATATTACAATATAATAATAATAATAATCCACCAAACTTGTCACTCTTTCCAGAAAAAAGTGCGACTAAATGAAGACCTCAAATATAATAATAATATTACAATATAAAAACAATAATACACCAAACTTGCCACTCTTTCCAGGAAAAGTGCTACCAGGTGAAGACCTCAAATATAATAATATAATAATACAATTATATTACAATATATAATAATAATAATAATAATAATAATAATAATAATACACAAAAACTTGTCACTCTTTCAAGGAAAAGTGCTACCAGGTGAAGATCTCAAATATAATAATACAATAATATTACAATATTATAACAATAATAATAATCCACCAAACTTGTCACTCTTTCCAGAAAAAGTGCTACCAGGTGAAGACCTCAAATATAATGATATAATAATATTACAATGTAATAATAATAATAATAATAATAATAATAATATACAAAATTTGTTGTTCTTTCCAGGAAAAGTGCTACCAAATCAAAGACAGATGACTGCTCTGGTCAGGCTTCCTTGGCCCCAACAAGAACAATAATAATAGTCGCATTTTGTTGTTGTTACTACTACTACTATTACTATTGCAGGCAGCCCCAAGGTTAGGAACAAGAGTGTTTCAGTAAGTTTTGTTCTTAAATTGAAGCTGAAGTCGGAACTGGGGCATTTCTTCATTGTCACTTTTGTTATTTTATTAATTGAGGTGTGATTATTTCTACCTCTCCTCGAAGCATGTTTTGAATTTCCACCTCAAACCGAGGCAGGGACCTGTCTCTTTTGTTATCCGAAATCTCCCCCAAAGTCCAACACGAAAAGAGCAGGAAAAAGGGGAAACTGTGGGACTTCAACCTCCTATCGATTTGGACTCAATTCCCCTCTTGATCCGAAATTCCGGGGCAGAATGGCATCTTTTTGTATTGAAATAAATCCAAAGGATAATGATACAGATTGGCATCCAAGCAAACTCCAGGGAAAGCGGGAAGGATTTGCAATACACACAAGGTCTAGATAGAATCACAGCCTGGGAAGCTTCGGGGAGGAAAGACTACATGGAAATCGGATCCATCTTTCCCGTCGGAATAAACCGTTTTCGGATTGAAAACGGCCAGACGCAGATCTCCTATCCGAAGCCAGTCCCCTTCCCAAAGGGCAAGACCCTCCTGGGTTCAATTCCCACACTCTCAATGGCCCCAAAGAGGCCCTTTCCAAATCTCTTTTGCAATGCAGGATTGCAGAGAGTGGCTTTCCCTCCTTCCCAACTTGAGCCTGGTCATAATAATTACAATAACAACAACAGCAACAACAACAATAATAAATTATATAATTATTATTATTATAATAACAACTATATATATTATAATATTACATAATATTACATATGTATATAATATATTTTATTTATTTTATAATAATATGTAATATATTATATATAATATATATTTTACTCATTTTATAATATTACATATGTATATAATAATATATTTACTCATTTTATAATAATATATATATAATATATTTTACTCATTTTATAATATTACATATGTATATAATAATATATTTACTCATTTTATAATAATATAAATAATAATATTTTTACTCATTTTATAATATTACATATGTATATAATAATATATTTTACTCATATTTAATATTACATATGTATATAATATATTTTACTTATTTTATAATAATATATAATATAAAATAATATATTTTACTCATTTTATAATATAAAATATATTATATATATTATAATATTATATATATTATATACTATTATATAATTATATGTATATAATATTTTATTATTATATCTATAATATAAGATTATCTATATTATACA